TGAAAGTGCTATCTTTGCTTTGCTTCCACAAAATTTTTAATTATCGAAAATTTCTGCTAGCATTATTCTGGGAAAGTAAAGCATAAGTTCTGATATTTTGCATTTTGTATATATGCTAACACGATTTGGACGTGTTGAACTGATTAATTATAAGATAACTTAGAGAAATAAACTTTTCTCTTCACTTGGATTGTGATATAGTATCGAACTCTAACAGAGAAAATAATCCTTGAACCTATTCTGTTCGGTAACATTTCATAATTTAGGATCCTGCATGTTGGTGATCAAATTATTAACTGAAGAATCTCATAGATGCATGCATTTAACCCTATTGCTATCAAGTTCTTTCATCATAGTTTTATGAATTTTATTTGTAGTCGTGCATTTCCTTCAAAGTAATTTCATTAAGATTTGACTTCTTTAAAATGAGTAAATACATATAAAATAAGTAAATGTTAATTTGAGTTAAGCCATCTAATCCTGCAACTAAATGTTTAACTAATACTTTTTTTTTTTTTTTGCAACAGTATGTGAGAATTAGTTAACAGTAGGTTTATTTTCTCCATCCTTTTCAAATTAAGTTATATAATATGAGGATGGAATTTCATTTTCCCAATCAGATGCTCAAAGCAGAGAATAGACACGAGCAAGTTTTGCTTAATTTAATTAGTGCAGCTAATTATCTAAGATGGTGAATTAAAAAATGTTCATTGAAACCACAAAGCATGTGATTTATATAATACATATAGTACTTTATTAAAATGGTGATAACGAAATCATGTTCCACTCAGATTCTGTGCAAATATTGTACACGTTGATTCATAATAATTTGGTGGCTGTTAGTGATTGAACAATTAATCAAGCGCATCTCCAAGAATCCAACGAAAGAAAAAGTACATCACATTAACATCAAATCTAATATAAAATATTTCGAAGTTAATCACTCCAATAACTTTGGCCCTTTTTGATCCTCTCTTCCTCCCACTATCCAAACGTCATAAACTGATATGATGCACCATGATGACCATAATGATTGCTATGTGTTTTCACCTCCAAGCTATTCTGCTATGGTGTGGTTAATGGTTATAACCCACTCAGATAGATGTGATGTGCCTCAACTTTATTCGACAAATTATTTAAATATCTTCACAATTTAAGTATATCTCCACGGATAAACACGCAAATTAACTTATCTAGTACAAAAGTTATTTTATTTTAAATACATAATTATGTTAAATAGTTATGTATATATATATAAAATTTTACTTGGATTTTATTTTTCTTAAAAGAAAGAAGAAGGTATTACTCCTGTCTAATCCAGAAAGAGGAAATGATGAAATCAATGGTATTGCATGATTCTCCCTTTCTCCCTTGCAAATAAC